TAAGATTATTTGCTGATCCAAAATTTGTCAAGACGTCTTAAAAAAAGGCTTAAGTAGCGGTCAGCTAAGAAAAAAAAGACGTCCAATTTTGGAAATTGGGAGATCCGGAGATTAACTCTGATATTCAAATAAAACTTATCATAAAATAAAATTACCCAATTTGAGTCGCAATGATTGCAACGTCAATGAGTCGCAATGAGTCGCAGCAATGGTTCTTTCAAAAATCAATTTAACTTATCTTACTCATTTTATAATTTCAGAATTACAGAATTTACAAAAATATTAAATTGATTTAGGTAAATCGGCACTTCGCAGCGGATAGCCCACAATCACTGCGCACTTTCTGGCGTAGTTGAATTGTCATATCACGAGTGACACAAATCAACGGAACTGCTCTAAACCACTAAAAACAGCAGTTGATAAGACTTCAAGCGGCGGAAAATTATTCAGAGTTGACTTGTTTTGTGGTAGATCACTCGTTTTAAAGTGTACAAAGCAGAAATTTACAAATGAGCACGAATTGTTTTTTATAATCTGACTGACCAAGTGCTGCTCTTTGCTGATTAATATAATAAGAAACTGTGAAAATATTCAAAAAAACGTGTAATCAAATTCTTTATCTGGTCATTTAACATAACTTTGGTCATAACTCATAAATCACTGTCCCAGCATCGGGTAATTCGTCATACTTGCTTCCTACGCATTATTCGCTCATCATAGCTTTTTTCAGTTCATCTCGCTCTTATTTTTATATGTTTGTTTTTCGAATCTGTAAACTTATTTCGGAATCAAATCATCAGGTCAGTTTTCTAGTTTGTAGAACTAATAATTTTTTTTAAACTTTAAAGAGAACAATTATTGGAGGCAGCTCTTTTCCGTTAAATTTTTTTCGACACTGGTCGTAATTTTTCTCGAAATTACAACAGTTTCTGAACTACACAAAATTTGAAACTCTTTATGAAATGAAAGTTGCCAATTATTAAAAATGGGCTTCCTTGGGGTGATGCATTCAAAAAAATCTTGTTTGAATTTTTCCAATCTTAAGTGTCCTTTAGGCTTGAGAGCTATTCAATGATTGCCCCGAAAATCCTAAATCCGCGCTTGATGCAATCACAATAATAAATACGCCAAAAATGTTGGTATTTCTTTTAAAGTTTTTCATTGTCTGAAGTTAGCGGCAAAGTTCAAATTCAAAAATTTCTTCTCTACAAAATTTGGGGTTGAAAAATTCAATCAAAAAATCTCTTAAGCTCCATTAGGTCTCCGAGATCCAACCGAGCCGTCTTAAATCCTCTAAAAACCCATCCCACAGTTATGGACATCGAAATGTGCTGATAGCCTAAGCAACCAATTTTCAAAATTGTTTTAGTTTTTCAGCAATTTATCAATTAGTTCAAATAATTACTTTTTAAATTAAAAAGCATAGGTGCTGTTTATGGTGCCATCTTAATCCGTCAGATGATAATAAATAATCTCATGAACTAGATGTTAATTGATTAGTATAAAATAAACCATTAAAAGTGTGGTAAAATGTGACGAAACAATTAAACAATTATATCTCGCAGATACAATTTTGGTGTTCTTGATTTCAATTTCGTCAAAATTTTTAACCAAGTTATTGGATCATTATGCCGGGTTTAACAAAAAATCAGATAAACTCCTCGTTAATTTAAAGATACCTCGACTAATCAATGGATGCTTTTGAAAGTTATAACATCGATCCACGGGTCTACTTCGAGTTTTGCAATAGCAGTGGTAAGTATGATACGCAAACAATATAGACACCCCTCACATTTTCCATAATTCCCGTCCGCTCTCCCTAAGAGCCAGCAACAAACAACATCCTTCCATTTCCATTTGAGCGAGCTAACTTTTAAGTACCTAGAAACAAAAAAAGTACCGCACTTTTTAGCAGGTATTTTTTCATTATCTCACCTCTGTAGTCACCTGAAAAGTGAATGAACTATTTCCTTTTGTCTAGAATAACTCTTAAGGCTGTACTATTACTTCTCTCATTAGGTTTTGAACTAATATTGTAGATATAAAAGGACTCCAATGATGGATAATTTACCTTTTGATTAATGACTTCAAATAGATATTCTTTTGAATACTCTTTTCTATACATTTATGCAGTCGCAAGTAAAATTTAAAATTTACAAACATTTAGCATTGTTTTAAGAAACTTTGATTTTTTTGCTAGTTAAACTCAAATAAAATCAGTTGTTAGTGTTTTTAGGCCAAATATAGAAATCAACTTCTGATATATTTTTTCGAAGCACGGATATTTGGATAAAAAATTGTAGGCGAAGTTTTGTCAACACAAAGACAATTGATTGGACTTTAACTTTTATGACGCAAGTACAGTCATTAGCTCCGTTTTTATAGCTTTTACTTTTTATGTACTTTTTTCTTTCTAATTCATTTGCTATTCCCTGAAAATTCATCGCACATATATATTTAGATTGAAATGGAGTTGTCCTTTTCTGATTGCATATACATCTAGACCACAAATAAAATCTGTGGACCTGTTTGAACAAGTCAGTACTAACAGCCTTTTTATGACTCTTTAAGTATTTATCCCTCTCATCGTTATACGTTCGCTACCTTCGGATGTTTATACTTTTATCTGAAAAAAGAACAAGAAAAAATTCCATTTTTACATCGGTTTTTAGTCACATTTTCTTCTTAATTAATTGCTCGATATTGATTGTTGAAAAATTGTGCATTTGAAGTAAATTTGAGAGCACGATAATTTCAAATCGAATGCACAAAATCTAAAGACCTCTGACTTCTGACTTCTACTGACTTGAGTATTCTTTTAAAATGCTCAATGTCGGAGTTAAGCACCTATAAGGAGGTAAAAATAAAACATTTAAAAATAAAGTCACTGCTCTTTTCGGTTTTCGCTTATTTGGACTCAAATTAACAAACCATTGATTATCCAGTAATTCGGAAAACGGAAATACATCCAAACAATTATGCATCAAATTATTGCGGTAAGTTCTAGAAAAATAATATTTGTTAGGATTTTAGTGATTCGTATCACAGAACCTTCCGATCATGCATTCATTTTTTTCCAATGTGAAATATTAACATATGCAAAACTTTCAATTAATTTCTTCCCTTTGAAGCAAGATTCCAAATGATTCGAAGAATTTTCAATCGCACTGATTTGTTGTTTTAGGAGCAACGTTGATGATGGAAGTTGATCCTGATACTCCTTAGATTTTATTTTTCATACGTGTATTTTTGAATACTTTTAATTTTTCAATAGTATTGATGTAGTTCGAGTATTGCGAAATGTATATAGTTTCGAAAGTTTATTTATATTTTTTGCTTTCTTATTGGTCACAGGCAAACAAAAGAAGTGCGCATTTAGAAAAAATTGTTTCTTAAGAGTTAAGATGCCGTGTTTTTGTCGGTATTGTTTATATTTTTTATTTGATTACATGACGTGCAGAATTTTACAATATTAGCTTGCTCGTGAAGAAATGATTTAGCGTTCATACGTAACAAAATAAAAAACACGTTGCAGATATTGTAAGAAACAAACTTCAGTTATTGACAATTTTTTATATTTTGAAAAAAAATCTTCATTTTAATTTCTTGTCTTTGGACAGCTTTTGAGCTCTCTTCTGACCAAAAAACGTGCAAAACGAATATAAGTTACAATGGCTGATCGAACATTTTCACAAACGCTGTAAAAATTCATAAAGTATAAGTTTTCGCAGCTAACAAAATCGTAACATCAGCAGCACAAATTGTGTCTTTGTAGCACATCTAAAAATTTGAAGCAAACTTCGAATCTCAGCAGTTATTTTGTTTTAGAAAACGAGCAAACGTAAAGAGGGTACTCTTTCTTAAACTAAATTGTGAGGCATTTGATGGTCCGAGGCGTCAAAAATTAGCAACCAGACATCAAACAACCATTTCTGTTCCTACTTCTGTTATGACAAACGCATCCTTCGTTCGAGGTTAATCGAATGAAAACTGTCCACAGCGCTCCAATGGAAATCGACAAGGAATCGTTGTTGCCTTCGTTCGTTAAAGCCTCGAGATCTCTTAATCTTGAGAATCAAAAAAGTGACCAAAGGATGCATTTCGGCAAAATAAGGAATCATTATTTTTTACATGCCTCAAAAAACAATATAAAATCACCATCAATTACTTCTTTACCATTCAACATCTTCTCGAAACACAACAAAATGTTCCATAATTTTACCATCTGGAGCAGAACAAGACGTCGGAAAAAGATCAGGAAGAACTTTTTTAATATTAGCGCAATTTCGAATTTGGTAATCTCACTTACTTTATTAGCCTCGTTTCTATTAAATTTACCGCTAACAAGTGCTCTGAAAGCATCATCATTATCATCCGCTAATTTTTGGCAATCATCACAATCCTCATCAATGAGCAGACCTCCGGCTCCCAAAAACTGCAAGGGAGTGCTAGGGTGTCTGCCGAACCAATTCCAATGCCATAAATCATGCAAGTGCATCGATGCTAGTAAAGTTTGTGACAACAGCTTCTTGGACTGCGGTAATCGAGACATATCAGACGAGCTTGAATCTTCATGCGCCTACAGACCTAAGAATTTGCTGCCCTCGGCTGCTGCCAAGCACGATTGCCCTGAGGATTCTATGTACTGCGAGCAAGTCAGCAAAGGAAGCGGTAACTGCCTCCAATCTTTCTGGTGGTGCGACAACGAACAGAACTGTGTAGACAGTCAAGATGAACACCCGGATCTTTGCGGCTGCGGGTATGGGTACAATAAAAGCAAAGACAATGACAACATTTGCGTCAGAGACTCGAACTGTGCGCCTGGGCTTTTCACATGTTTCACTCCTGAAGACACTTTATTATGTTTTCACCCTTTGTTTGTGTGCGACGGTAAGCCCGACTGTCCTCTCGAAGAAGACGAGTTCCCGTCGTTCTGCGATGAGGGCTGCGACAGCTCCGAGAGTGATTGCGGTTCGGAGAAAACCGAATGCATTCACCATTTCAACATATGCGACGACACCAAAGACTGTTTCTCGGGCTTAGACGAGCCCGACTTTTGCCAGCAGACGAAATCAGCGAAGAAACCCGAAGGCATTTTCGAATGTGGAAAGAAGTCAAATCGAACTGCTATTTACTATATTGATGACAAACTGCTTTGTGACGGAGTCAAACAATGTCAGGACGGATCGGACGAATCAAACTGCGACATTTTCTCGAATGCTGAGTGTTTGCCAACGAGTTGTCATCACAATTGCCGAAAGAGCGGTCAACTAGGAGTTGAGTGTTACTGCGACAAAGGTTACACCTTAGCCGAAGATTCCTTTTCGTGCATTCCGCCAATTATGCAGCCTGATCCGAAAGGTGAAGGGGAAAAACTATACGCTATACTCGAAACTGGAGACATTCTCGAACTGAGCTTGGATTCATATGGAAATTCAATTCTGGACGGCAAAACTGTCATGCAGAGCAACTCAGCTAGAAATAGTCCAGTTACCATTTCGGCCAAAGATAATTTCGTGATAGTTTTCAACCACATGACGAATTTGATGGCGCTGGACGTTAGCCAGATGAACAGCAACAAGATTCCTGGGTATACTTTAGTTGAAAATTGGGTGGATTCATATTTGGTCACATCTCTCAATTATGACTCAGTACACGAGTTACTTTACTGGATCGAAGACGAAAAAAATCAACAGTTTTCTTCAAAATTGAAAGTAGCAAATCTTAAACTTCCAAGTACAAATCAGGAGTCGAGTAAAGCTATAGAGTATTCCAATTTCAACAGATCGACAATATTTCAGGGCAGGTATGACAATCATACGCCTGAAGATTGGCGGTGTTTTACATCACTCGTTTTGGATCCTTATAAAGGTCGTTTGTACCTCGCGAGTAAATTCCAGAATGGCTCCGGAGTTATCGAAGCATACAATCAAGACGGCTCCAAATTAGGATCAGGTGACGTTCTGTACTTTGGAACTGAGTCTCAGCCGGAGAACTTGAAAGTTGACATCAAAAGAGACTTTCTGTATTTTATGGATAAAAAAGGACTGGAGCTGAAGAGAATTCCGATCGGTAATGATCAAACTGGTTCCCGAAAGCCACGATCGGCAGACATTTTGAAACAGATGAACGATAGAGTTAATCAGAGAATTTTGACGTTTGAGGTATTAGCCAATCAAATCATATATTCGGACGAAGCACGAATAGCTTTTTATTCGTTTGGTCCGCTGAGTAATTTTAATGCAGACTCCAAATTTGACCCACAACATTATTCCTCAATGGGCGCTAAAATTATCCAAAAATTACCTAGTGGTTTTGCTCCAGTTCAAATGACAACTTCGAGTAATTTGCCGGCTATTGAAAATGAAGAATCAAATCGTAATCAATACGGGGAGTCTACGAATCCGTTTGGCTGTGACGACGACCCTATTTGTAAATTTGACATCGGAATCTGCCTGCCCCGAGGTCAAATAAGGTCAACTTGTATGTGTCCAGATCACACCTTGAAGGACTCCAGAAATAACGTATGCAAACGAATAATCGAGTCTTTTGTCGTCATAGCAACAAAACAAAACGAACAAATTGAAAAACGAGATCTAAACGGCGAGAATCGAGTTGTAATTGCGGATCAAGTCAGTGCCAAAGAACTTTACTTCGACGAAGATTTCTTGTATTGGATTGACGATCGATTCAGTTCACACAGTTCAAAGGGGGGCTCCAGTATTCAAAGGGTGCCCGTATTTGACATTAAGAATCAAAAGTCATCAAACTTCAGATTGCTACCTACAACAATCGTAGCCGACTTAGACAGACCGTTTTCATTAGGCGTTGACAGCACTCGGAATGTTATTTTTTGGTCAGATTTGGTGCGAAAAACTATTGAAGTTGCGTTTCTTTCTGAGCCAATACACAGCAATGTTTTATTATCGCGAGAAAAATCGCCTCGACATATAGCACTGGATCTACTAAGCGGATTGATATTCTGGAGCGAGGAAAATAGTCGATCGATTTGGCAAGCTAACATGGACGGGTCGGACGTAAAAGTAATTATAACTGCAGTTAACTGTTGGCCTGACGAAATCAAGTTTGAAGCAGTTTTATCGCAGATTTATTTCAGCTGCAGAAGAGCCGACGGCAAAAAATGGTTGTACGTTGGAAGCGCTGGCGAGACGCAAAATTTTGAAGTACCTTTGGGAAACTATATCAACGAGAACAAAAACTGGTGCTTCACAATTTTCGAGCAAAATGTTGTAATTGCCCATTCACACGTGAAAAGTTACACCAAACACAATGGAGAAGAATCTGACGCAGTTTCCTTCGCGCAGAATTTGAACGATGAAATTGAGCGAATTGCAGTCTACAAACAGGAAATGTTGCAGCAAGTATCAGACCCATGTGAGATAGCTAAGTGCTCTCAAAGATGTCTGAAGGTGTCGGTTTCGCCCTACTTTGGATGTACCTGTTTCTTTGGGTACAAGTTAAGCTCAGACGGTGTAAGTTGTCACGAGCGTCAGGATTCGGATATTCTTTTGATGTCTCACGACAGCGGGGTTAAACTCGTCTACCTCAAGGACCGGCCATTACTAGCTGGAGAGGTGAGTTTACCCGGACGCAAAAGTAGAATCGGCGAGTTTGATTTTGACCCCAGCCAGAAGCATTTGTACTATTTGGCGTCGGATTATCAAAAACCACCGGAACCCATAAGGAGAGTTCATTTACTCACGGGGAAGTTGAGTCAAGTTTACGCTGAAGGCGAAGATGTTACCTCATTCGCTCTCGATAAAATTGGCAGAAAGTTATACTACGCCGAACGATTCTGCAAATGCATCAAAGTTTCAGAACTCGATTTATTCGAGGGAGAGGAAAAACTGCGGACAAAAACAATTGTTTCATCGCAAGTTGGCGAAGATGCCGTGTTTGGTTTGATGATCGATCACAATGACGGATATTTATTCTGGACGCAAGAGTTCGGCAATTATCGAACGGTAGAACGAATCGATTTGAACGGCCGAGACGGATCCCGGAAACAAATTACGGCACAAATTAAATCGACCCAAGATTTAGAGTATCCAGCAATAGATGCTGAAAATAACGAGATCTACTACAGCTTCAAAGGGAAAATTGAGAGGGCATCTTTGCAGTACCCGAACGGCGTGCACAAGTTCGAGGATGTTTTGGACAAATCCGATGTTTTTGGGATTTCCTACCTCAAAGGAGTTCTGTACTTTGGATCTCGCCCTTCTCTGTCGCATACAAGTGTTCACACGTATCAGACATCAAGCAATGATAAATATCCCTCTTACAACTCGGGAACACGTAGCAATTCATTTTTGCTGAAAGAACTGATTTCCCATCAGCTTTTCAGCGTGAATCACTTACATGCGTACACATTTGACGAACCACGTGAACAGATTACCAACTTCTGCGACCGGATGTCTCTAAATGGTCATTGCGAATTCATGTGTCTTCAAACAACATATTCTGACGAAACCCCAAATAAGTTTTCATGCGAGTGCCCGGACGGCGTGAAGCAACTTCCGCCCGGAAACTTATGCGAAAAACAGCCTGGAGATTTTGTATTGCTACCTTCTGACCGAATTTTCTACCCTGGCTCACAAATCAAAGATTTAGACTTCACATTCCCAGAAATTGTGGAACCGTACAGCGTGGATTTTTTGTATCGACAGAAGAGAATCTTCATAGGAACTAAGAATAGCGGTGTGTTTTCCATGGATTTCAATGGCAATGATATCCAACAAGTCTTGCCTGTGATTGAAGATCTACAGCAAATTGCGATAGATTGGACAACAGAAAATTTATTCTGGCTCAGCAAACAAGGCTTAAGTGTTATTAGAATCGGTGGTGATATGTCAGATGCTAAAACACTTATGAAGGCGAGTGAAAATCGGCTGAAGAAACCAAGAGCTCTTGCAGTGCACCCCTTCCGGGACTTGGTATTTTTTTCAGACTACGGTCAGCCTCAAGCCCTGATTGGTAAAATAAACATGGACGGATCCGAGTACCAGACAATCGTGGCGAACTATATAACTTGGCCGAATTCTCTTGCCATCGACTTCAGATTTGATAGGCTTTATTGGATCGATTCAAGCAAACATAAAATTGAAAGCGTCTCTTTGGATGGAACTCAAAGACGAACGATTCTGGAGAGACATTCACCAGCTGTACGTTTGGAAGCGATGACATTTTTCAACGGAAGTTTCTTCTACACACGAAGTTTTTCGAAAGGAAACATGAACTTGCAAATGTTTAACCTAACCAAATGCGAGGCTTCCTACGAGCAGTATGGACAACCAACCACTAAATGTGAAGATTTGCACAAGGGATACTTCACGACTCAAAGCGAATACAAACCGAAGTCCGTTAAAGTGGTCTCGGAAATTGGGCAGCCAATGAAGCCTCCAAGAAGCATCGAGGGACGATTGAGTGGCTGTAATGTTTTAGCTAACCCTCGTGAATGTGATTATATTTGTCTAAGTAATCCTCAGCTAATAACATGCGCATGCCCCGACCGAAAAATGTACCCCAGCAACTGCATCGAAAAAACGATAATGCGACCTCAAATTCATTCAACATATGCGACCGAAACTCCAGCTCCTAAAACTTTAAATTCCGACAGTCACGATAGCAGTCCGTTTGCATTCGAGCTGAAGTTAGTCATGATAGTTCTGGTCATAATCGCGGTCGTAGTGATAATACTCATGATTGCGATTTTGCTTCTCATCAAGAAGCATATGATTGCAGCACCACCCTCCCCGCATCGGGCAATTTTCACCAACCACGATAACCAGCCGGCCGCCACAGTTATTCTACACACTCATCAGTATCCGCCATTAGGTCGCGGAGGTGCTTTGCCCCCCTTCGGAGCAGGGGCATTCAATCCACGTCCCCCTCTGGGAAGACAGTCGAGGAGCAATGTATACCAAGATCTTCCGGTTCGTACCAGCTTGCTACCATTTAATCAGGAGGTCAAATTTGCACCCGGTCGTTCTTTTCCACCGCTCGGAGCTCACCGGTTTTGCAAACCCAGCTTCATTCCCGGACATGTGCACTCAGAACACAATCCACCACCTTACAGTCCGAGGAGCGAGAGTTCGAGACAGGGATCCACCGGCGGCAGCAGCCAAGGTAGCAGCGGGAACTACCAACACTTATACTCTGTCCAGCCAAATATTCCAAACATGCAGCACCACTTAAACAGATTGGCAGCAGTCACTGGCCACCCGCCGCCCCTTGGCCCGTTCTTAGTAGGCGGTCCTGGAGGGAGTTACTCAAACGCGACAACTCCGATGACGTTCAGTGAAAATTCATCCGAAGATTCCCAGCAACACAGTAACGACGAAAGCAGCACAGCTTGAAGATCACAATTTTTAAGCTAAAATGCCAAAAAGAGAAGTAAATAAATTGAAAAGCCAACGATAAATAGTTTTATAATACCTTGATAACAATGAAAGTTAATATTTTTCCAATTTTAAATAATTATTTTTCATTTTTGTAAATTCATTTCATTCCCAATTTTTTATTTCAAGTTCAGCAAATTAGGAAACTCTAATGTAGGAGCTAAGAACTTATTTTACATGGAAGTAAAGAAACTCATGGCACACCTTTCAACACCTGAATTGAACAAAAATTTGAATATGATTGCAGAAACGAAAAGAAAGCAAAAAATGATACAGAAGTATCGTTTCCATTTAAGGTTTTTGAGTATGAAGCGTTCGAGAAGAAAAATACACTGCGATTTTAATGACCCGAATAAGAATCCTCTCGTTACTGATAAAACCAAAAATAGGGAAATCCGCCCGCTTAGCATGACCCATCCCCATGACTGATTTTTGAAGATGAAAACTTGAAATGATATTCGTCGAATGGACTTGTTCAGTTTGTGTGTTTGGTCTTAGCTACAAGCAAAAAATGGTCACTAGGTAATGGTCAAAAAAAGATAATTATCTGGTTAGTCTTAATACTGATGAATGTTTTGTTAAAGGAATAATTGCCAAGTAAGTTTCATTTGAGTGCGATGGTAAAACACTTTGAAGGGCTTGGATAACAATAACAGTTATTTGTATAAAAGAAACACGGATGGATAATCTCATCGCAAACGAAATTTCATTCAAACAGCGAAAAACTTTTAACAGCGAGCTACAAAATCTGAACAGCATTAGAAAAAAATTCGCGTCGAAGTTAGTTTTAAAAATGAGAGTTTCTCCCAATCTTCATAACTCTAAGCCTTGCAATAATTGTTCCGACCATTTCAAAAATCAGGTGCCACAATTAATCATCCGAAAAGGTCCAGTGATATATCATATTAAAGCCTTTTAAGTTGTGATTCGAACGGAAAACACCGGGACTCATTGTCGAGAATAACCGGTTTGAAGGCGTTGATTTTCGGTCGAATTTTGATCTTTTAAGGTGAGCGCGCAGGCTTACAAGAGCTTATTTATGCTTATTTATGCTTATTTTTAGGCCGTAAAAAAATAGTTTTACTCGAACAAAGTTAGTTTTTGAAGTTTTTAACGACGTTTTGGGAACAATAAACTTCTGCAAAAAATTGAAAACGTTTATTTTTTTTTTTCGTTTTTCTAGTCATTTTTTTTTAACAAAAATTGTTTTCCAATTGGCCTATTTTACTATGACCGTAGAATTATCTTAAAATCTAGTTACTTATTCCAACACAGAATCGAAGTTGAGCTTCGCATTACTTGCGATACAACAAAAAAGAGATTTAAACAGCATGATGCTTAAAGCGTAGCAAACGAGATTTCGGGTGAAAAAAAAATTAAAATTGAAAACGGAACAAAAACACAAAAATTTTGCAAACTGAAAATTTTTTTTATCATGATTAAAATCCTTTGGTTTTTCAAGGAAAACTCTGTCAAATTTATATTGAGCATTCGAAAAAATGGAGCCAGAGTTTGATTGATTTATAAAAAAAGCCGGAACTTTGTAAGAAATACAAAATTAGGTAGAAAAGCTTACAAAAAATTACAACCGACAACTAAGCTGAAATTTAACCAAAAAATACTGAATTTTTAGTGTGCAGGAGTGTTTTATGTGCAGTGAAAGCAAGACTCAATTCGTGAACAGAACCGACAAAATTTAGTCGACAACCATATAGCAGAAAACTTGGCATACAATGCTAACATAGCACAGCAAATTAGCGAATTAGCGAATTGAGACAGCAAATTAGCAAACTGAGACAAAAACGCTACGTTAAAAATGTTTTTCCTGAGGTGAGATAACGCAATAATATCGAAAAAAATGAAACTAGCAATATGTTCATAACTTTATCAATTTGTCTGGAATATAAATCTTTTTAAACAGAAATAAAACGCCAAATAAGACAACTGAACGATGCCAAGGAAGACAACTGCTTCGGAAAAAAACAACTGAAAATTACGCAGCGTTAACAAATCAACAATGCTAATTGCAAGAAAAACAACCTCATGCTTAAAAATTCCGTGCTAAATATTCGACAAAGCAGAACTTTTCGAAAACTTCTGAAAAAACTTATTTGTAAATTTTTTTTTAAAATTTTCAAAACAAAGCAAAAAAAATTCGCGAAAATTTTTTTAGCTCAATTACTTTCACTGATATATTTCAAAAACCTAGAGAAAGCTGGATCTTTAAAACTCAAAGAACGTCCTTGGAACGAGAACTAAATCGAAAAAAAGAAAGAGACTGACCATTGCTCGAAAAAGCAGAAAAATTCTAGCTTTAGAAAGAAACGGGTTCCGACTGATTCGAAGCACAAGTCTTTGTCGTCTCAAGCATCCGTATTACCTCTACGTCAGATGACCTGGAAAATTGAATGAATTTGAATTTGTTGTAATAATTAAACTAAGAAGCCGAAAATTGAGTTTGTGAAAAATTTCAATTTTTTTTACAAAAAAATTTGACAATTTTTCAAGTTTAAAACCACACGATTTCAGTGCCAAAAATCTACCAAAAATTTTCGAATCTGAGAAAAGATTTATAGGCAGCTCTTACCGTAAACAGAAGACCAATACAGTAACCACGCTATTAATTAACCATGCGTATCAACCAATGGGTAAAATTATACTGATTACGATTTGACTATTTTGTGAACATGGTTTTTTACGGGAAAAAAGTTAAGTTTCCAGTTGCAATACCCTTGCGTATCGCTACCGTTATCAAACTAAGAAGAAGAAACTACAACAATTTGAAAAAAAAATTCTTTGTTTTTTTCAGGAATTTGGTCGGAACATTCTGTGCCTCTTTCACAGTAATCTGCTATATTTGTTCATATAGAGTTTTGGACAAGGAGGAGCCGATCACGTCAAAAAAGGATGAGAAGCAACAAAAGGAAAGATAGTCATATTTAGAAAATAGGTTTGATTAAGCAAGCTTACTTCCAGTAGATCTGAGCTCAATGGAGTGCGACAGCACCGACTTCCAAAAAATTTCAGTCGAGCAACGAAACAAAAGTGTATCAAAGTAAAGATAAACTAAGCAGAAAAGTAAACTGGAAAAAATGGAACCGCATTTTAGGGAAATAATACAAGAATTATTGAACGAATGATATTCTACAGTCTCTTTTGATAAGAGGAAAAGTTGTCAGCAAAAACGATTTAGACTTCAGAAAAGAGTACGACTGAGTTCCTCCTTTGGAAAAACTTTGGATATCATATTTAAGAAATAACTCTTCCAAAATGACTCTTCACAACGTTTAACTGTTTTCTGTTACAGCCAAAACGCCCGGCCGGAGACCTTCAAATTCTAATTGTAAGAGTCCAGCAACTTCAAAATGACAGTTATTGAAGAGTTTTCAACTACGCAGCAGGTAAGGTAGATTGCATCGAGTCGGCGTCGTTCTCCCTAGACGTTCCAGAAAAAATTCCGTATCTGTTGAAAGATTTTCTTTGTTGGGTTTAACAGCAGAGTCAGACATGATCAAAAACTATGACACAATGATCAAATCATCAATATTTCGAGCTAATGGAGAAACGCCTAGACCAGCAGATAAAGCGCAGAGCTTTTGCCTCCGGTTATCGAAGTCGTGAAACAACATATTCCAGTCCAGGGCAGTTGTCGCGTCAATGAGGAACAGAATCGAACGCAATCAAAATATCGGATTCAATAGTCACGTTCTTTTTAAGAGCGCGATCATCAAAAGTCATTCAACAATCAACTCGAAGCAGTTACGCCAGAGCAAAAAATTCAGTGCTCATATTTTTGGGTGGAATTAATTATAGAATACATCATAAATATTATGCTACAACTCGACCTGATCAATTGTGAAAATGATATTAAACGTTTCAAAATTATAAATCAAAAATAAAATTTACGGCCATTCAGTTTCAAAAAACTCCCAGATCGGTGATCAAATAAAACTAGAAAGTTATCAAAGACACGTACGACTAAACCAAAAAAAAAACCAAAAAGGGAGCCACAGAAAGATTAACATATCATTTTCAACACCCATAAATGATACCTAGAAGAGGAATTAACGCCCCCCTAGCCTCTATAAAGAGAAAAGCCACGAAGTAAATAAGGTTTTAAATTGCAAGTAAATTTAGAAAAAAGCACAAAATTTACTGAAAATTCAGTATCGCTAAAAACAACTTCGAAAGACCTTCTAGAGATATTTCAACCTCACACCATAAGATCCTCTTTGTGCGCTCAATCTCTCTACTCTCTGTAAGTAGGAAACAGCATTGGTTGACAAAGTTTTATTCGTATTTTCGGCAATAAAAACCACTCATGTCGATATAATCAGTAAATAATCAGAATAATCCAGAAAACTCACAGCATCAAGTTCATAATTTCAACAGTATTCAGCTTCAATTATAATTTATTTCGGCCCAAGCTAGCCACAAGAACCGGTAATGTCATTGAGACAAATTGCTCTTTTTGGCGGTCCGCCGTAATCAAGGCTGAACCAAATTAGAACAAAAAAAACAGTTAAAAAGGTCAAGTGGGGCTATAGCCCCTCGAGTTTACATGTTTTAAGGTCTGCTCATGGGTTGATTCGCACCCGCGCCAACTGCCAAGTCTGTATATGGTACTTTTGGAATAGGCCGCTCGGCCAACTGTGCTTACTTCATTTGCATTTTGGCTCAATCATATTCATTTATACTCTCGCTTACATTTGCGTTGCAACATCCTCCCCCTGAAGAAGGAAGAACCGGAGCGAGCTTAACGGTCGGCCGAGTGACTTCACGGGTTGCGGTCTTAGCAAGGGCGGAACGGGCGCAACCGTCCTATCCGTAGTTTAGCTTGACGATTCGGGCGAGGGGGTAGTACCCACGCGGACTATCGGGCTCAATCACCCACCCGAGATCACCATAAGAGTGAAGTCAGATTGAGTGTGCCACTTGACATGCTTATTCAGTGAGGGAACATATTCGCGAAGCCAACGAGACCAAATAGCGTTAGTATACGACTGCGCTCGCACGTGACTTTTCTTGTGGTCGAAGTGCTCCCCAGGTAAAAGCGAAGGAAAGCTTGTGGCTTGTCCAAGCCAAAAATGGTTTGAGTTAA